AGTGTCTCCTACACACCCAGTACTGTTAGGTACTGGATAGCAATGAATTTGCAGTTTCATTCATTTATTCATTCATGAAATAATTATTTTTTGAATGCTCATTATGTGACAGATACTTTAAACATTTTAAGTTGTTAATTGTTTTAGTAGTATTTTGATATTACAACAAATTTAAAAGATAAAACTATTACTATATTTTCATAATCCTAATGCATCAACATTTTTTTCACATTTCTTTCAACTGCTAGCCATATGTCTTCATAACTTTTACCCAACATTATTATGTTTTAAGCCCTTATCTTGATAGATATATTTCCATAATATGAAAATTTTAACAGCAAACTGGTTAACTAAGCATTTTCATTCCCATCATTTATACAATCTTCAAATTACAATATACTGTCATTATTTATTTATATGTCTTTTGTTTTCAGTAAACTATAAGTAGACTCTCAAAGCCCAGGACTACTTCTGATTCGATTTTGAACTCCCATCATCTGCCTGTTTTATAGGTAGCACAAAGGTTGTAGAGAAGTGTGTAAGAGCATGAATACTGACCACTTGAGGTCTCATTTTGACTTCTCCACTTGTAGGCTTGTAGCCTTGGACAATTTATTTACCTTCTCTCTATTTCACCTATAAAGTGAAGATAATAATAGTAGTCTACATGTTGTTGTGAGGGTTTAAGTGAGAATGTGGAAAGTCCTCATGATCTTGTCTATTACTTGGTAGATTCTGTGTACATGTGCTACATGAAATTCAAAAATTTGTGCCTGAGATATGCTTCATGAATGAATCATAAATCATTGAAGAATTTATTTTTGTTTCACACAGGTAACTTTTTGAATGTTTTTGGAGAATTTCTTCTTTTGATCAGAAACAGTGTGATGAGCATGTACCATGTACCCTATAGCCAAAGATAAATAATAATTTCTTGGGCTGAATTTTCCTAGGTGATATGAGTAAGTTAAACAACATGATATTTCTATAGTTTTGATTACATTATGGGAGTTAAGCTTCACCAGGGCAGGGGCAGAACCCGAGCCTTCAGCAAGACTGGCATCTACTAGCTCCCCTTTCACCTGAACTCACCTAGGTCCTTTTCTTCTTTTTACATCCCTTTTCTTCTGCTTAATTGCTTTCTCTGGACTTCAAGTTCCATAATAAATAAATTAATATGTTTCAATTAGGTAGCTCTAGGAGTGGAGGGGTGGGAGAAAGTCAAGGATGTGAGGAGCAAGGCATTTGTGAAGAGACAAGTCAGTTTGGCAGATGCCTTGGTCAGAGAATGGGGGTAGAATTGGAAGGGCAAGACAGTCAGGATGAAATCCTATTGGAGTATCAAAGGTCACAACAGAAGGTTCTTAAATAAGAGTGTTGACTTAATGACAGCCATTATGAAGCTTCTCAGGATGATTGTACAAATGTTACCAGAATTTTAGGGCAAAGGCTCAGGTTTTGCGGGTTCTAATGGACTAGATTTAGCCACTCGTCCCAAGATGCCAAAGAGACATGCAGTGTGAAGGCAAGAAAAAGCTTTAATCAGTATAGCCACACTGAGAAGCCACACTTTGGTCAAGTGAACTAAGGACTGTCTTAAAGGGGATGACAAAGAACTTTGAGGTTTTATAGAAATGGGCAAGAAGGTAAGGGTTGGCAGGTTTGCATAGCCAACAAAGCAGGGGATTTTAAACAGGTGATGATCTGATTGATCCTTATCTCAGGACTGGTTCTCCAAAGCTCAGGGAAGTTTTATTGGATAAGGGGACAATTCTGTTCCCATCAGAGAAGATTGCTCCTGCTTAGGGGACAGTCTCAGTTTCTGATCGTGGGATAATTGCTACTGCTTAGGGGGACAAATTTCATCATGAGAGAAGTTTTTGGGGGACCTTATCATGGTGTAATTTGCCTGAAAGGCTTGCTGTTGCTTGGGGATAGTTTTTGTGTCTCTGGTTATGGAGATGTTTATCAATCAGACCTGTTAGAATCCAAGGTAACTGCAGGAGAAAATGACTCAGGAGACCTCAGGAGACCTCAGGAGAGAAAGCAAAGATGCAAAATGAAGTCGGAGAAGGAAATAGTGTAGTTGGGTCAGAGCTGGGTCCATCTTTACAACTCCCATCCCCAGTGCATATGTGTGTGTGTGTGTGTGTGTGTGTGTGTGTGTGTGTTGCAGCTGAAGTCTCTTGCTGAAAGCTGGAGAAATGAGAATGAATGCAATCGTTCTATTGGGATTATTTCGTTCTGTCACCAATTAGTTATTTCACTCATTCATTCAGCACACATGCACCGAGAGCGTATTTTGTTCCAGGTATGTCCTAGGCACTGATTATTTACCAGTGGACAATCCAGATGCAGTTCTGCTGTCATGACCGGTTGCTTCTTCACAAGACTGTCAGTTCTAGTAAAAGCTCTGGACTGCCGAGATGGCTTTTCTGTTTCTTCCTGTTGCTCTCTGTGTTTGGCACATGGTGGGCGCTCAAAAAGACTGTCATGGCCTTGCTCCCTAACAGTTAGATACATACAGACGGGAAGAAAAGTCAGGGTTGCTCCGACTTCAGCTGTGAGACCATAATTTTAAAAGAGCACATGTCTGCGCCTATGTGTACGGTGTATGTGCGTGCGCAGGGGGGCGGGGGGGTGGTAATCCTCCCAGAGCGCCGGGCACCGTGCCAGGCTGAGCTGCAGGAGGATGGCTCTCCTTTCCTCGCGCGCTCAGAACAGTCCAGGCAGTGGCTGGGCGCCTTAGGAAGGAGCACAGCCTCGCATCCGCCCGCAGGCGGACCCCTGCGCTGCTCCTCCTCGCAGCGGGCGGGACTGGCCCGCTGTGCCGCCCAGAAGCCGCAGGCTCGGGAAGCCCTGTACGCTGCTGGATTGCGAGCCAAGGCGGCGGGTGGAGCCTGATCCACGATATCGCGGCCAATCGCGCGGCGCCGGGGGAGGAGCCCCGAAGGGGGAAAAAGAAAGTGCGGCGGAAAGTAAGAGGCTCATTGGGGAAGACTGCCGGGATCCAGGTCCCCTGGGCTTCGCTTTGGCCCGGAGCACGGAGAGAATCAGTGCAGGGAGACCCTCCACCCATCCCACCCCTTTTGCTGTGCCCGCTCAGCTTCCCAAGAAAGGTGAGTCTCGCGCTGCAGTGAGGACTGGTTTCATCCTGCCACAGAAACTCAGGGTAGATGGATTCTTAGAGATCGTCTCCTTCAATCCTCCTGTTTTACAGAAGGGAAAACTGAGACACAGGGCGAGGCAGAGGCCAGGGTAGATCACTCAGTGCGGTGGCGGGGATTCGAACCCTGCAGTTCAGAGCCCCATCTTTGCGTGTGTAGGGATTAAGTAACGCAATCGTGGGATCCGTGCGTTTCTGTGCCCATTCTCAGCCCTTTGCGGGATCTACTCCGGTCTTCCTGCGCCTTGCTTGCTCCAGCGCGCAAATGTAAGCGATGAGCACTGGCGGCTGTGTGTCCCAGCATGCCCATTCAGTGTCACGTCGCTCTCAACCCCGAGCTATGACAGCTTGGGTAAAGGCTGCCAGCAGCCTCACTCTCTCCTTTACTGACCTGCTTTCTCGAAAAGATGCTCCTGCTAAGGATATCCCACAGGCTCTAGGCGAAGTTTCGGGAAGAGGGAAGGGACGCCTGGATGCTGGTGACCTCTTATGGTACTTCCAGTTCTCTCCCCAGTCCCGGCAGGGAGCGGAGCTGTTGGCCTTGTGGAGAATGAGATGTTCCTCCTTAAGGAACTGACTTCACGGAACCATGTCGCCCCTCCCTTTCCAGTTTGAAATACTGGGACGGAAATCAGGAGGCTAGAGTTAGAGAAAATCAAAACCACAAAAACAAACTTCTGCTGTTTCCTTAAAGATCCCATTCCCAACCTGTCTTTCCTCCACCACTGGTTGTGCAATTGTGAACCAGGACACCAGGGGAAGCATTTTCCTGCTCTGCTGTCAGATCCCAGGGTTAGTTACCAGCTGTAAAAAGAGGATTTGCCTGGTTTCCAGTTCTGCCATGTGTTAGCTGTCTGAACTTGGGTAAATTAGCCCATCTTTCTAATACTATTTTTCCCCACTCACCAAAATGGAGATTCTAATGGTCACCTTAGGGTAGTTGGGAGGATGAAATGGGGCAGGCAATTCAAGTTACATTTTGTTTTTAGCACAGTGGCTGACCTGGTACCTGGTCTATTTGAAACTGATGATAACTATTATAAATATTCTTGAATAATAATCCTGGAGACTTTGAGTTTTGAGACTGCTTTCTTATTACATTGAAGTGACTTTTTGTTTTTTAAATATGGAAATGTGATGTTTTCTTCTTCGGAATTAGAACAGTTCTGTTAAAGTACATCTTTCACATGTGACTTGGATCATGGATGCTTGATGTGGAATATAAAATTGATATTTCTTAGTGATATGAATTTTCTACTAGTTTTTAGGTTAAGGCTCAGGCCTGTGAACTGCCTTGATCTGAGGCATCTTTCATTGACAACGAGGGGCTTTAATTTAATGAGGGATAAAAAAGACCAGAGGAGGAAGTTGGAAGTCACAGCTGTAATAGACTGTGCTAAGCCTTCTATTCCTGCTCTCTTAGATCAGTCAAGCAACTTTATGTTATTCAGCTAATATTTGTGCAGGGATGCTACTAAATTCGTTCTCTTTTAGAGACTAACTTGCTTTATTTAAACACAAACACACACAGGCCTACACTGGTCTTCCTGTATTATTGCTATTTTAAAATTAAATAGCTTCTTTCATACATCTGTACCCTGCTCATGACAGTTGTTTTTATTTGATTCACACAATAATTCAGTTCTATCTACAGGCCACATCATAAGTCCCTGACTTTGGTATTTATAGTTGGTTGCCCTTCACAGTTCAAAATATTTATATGCAGTATTGATGAGTACCTGAGAATGGGTGTGGTACATCTTGAGAGAAGGTAAGAGTCCAGTGGTACCCACTCAGGTACCTCCCACACCAAACATTTGCAGAGGATGGAATCTCTTGCTTCTGTCAGCTTGTTCCGTGTGCATGCATTGTGATGAGCTGGCGGGGATACATCTGAATGTGTGCCTGAGAGACCAGGGACTTGTGGGGAAAAGCAAAATGTTCAAAATAAGGTCAGAAGAAGGGGATGGAAGGGAGATTGAAAACAAATTTCTTTTGGTTCTGATTCTTTGAAGAAAGGAAATCCAGTTATCCTTACTTCTTATACATATTATTATTTGTTGCTAGCAAAACCATATGTATATATATAGAACTTTAACATTTCCAAAGTACATTCCACATATATTACCTTCCTTGTTATTTGCAGTAGCCCTGGAGAAGGACATAGCAGGCATATTAATAGTACAAGGCACCCATGTTTTGTGATAAAACCTACTTGATTTCAAATTCTAGTTCTGGTACCAAAGTAGCTGGGTGATACTAGCAACTTATTTTACTATTTAGGGCTTCTATTTTACCCAATTCTAAAGTAGGATAAAATTGCTTACTCTAAGAATTTATGTGAAGATTAAATTCAGTGAAATAATGTCAAATATGTGTAGTGAATAGGTGCTCATTAAATGACACCTCTTCTTAGCTAGTCTTCATTTACTGAAAACTGGAATGAGACTCAAAAATGATAGGCTGCCATGGGTCACCTTGATGGGAAATTCCAGCTTTAGGAATATAGTTTATACCTTTTAGCTTCTAGTTTTCCTATAACACCCTGCTACATGTCCAATAAGATCTTGAGTACTTTACTTTAGTTGTTAGGTTACCTTATCTGGCTGGTGATTTCAGGGCATCCTTTTTGTCACAGAGTAGATATTTCCTTGCTAAGAGTACAATCCTTCAACATGACTTTGTAGAATTTAGTGGAGCTGACTCTCAGGAGAGAGAGTTTAAAGTGATGATCTCTAAGGCAACTTACTCATTTTCATTTGTTTGATGTGATGCCCCTTCAACTCTTAGGAGGAAGGATTACTATGAATATATAAAGTTCAGAATTATGTCTGATTTTTCTTTCTGTCCTGGGTGGTTTCTTCTCTCTGCAATCCTGTAATAGTTCAAAGACTGGTATTGAGAAACAAATGCCATGCATGGCCATAGCATCATTCAGCTCTTTCACAAATTCCATGGATAAAGAGTGGAATAGAGAGAACAATATGCAAATTTGAAAAAAAAAAGCATCCTTTCCTGTTGATGTTAATCATTTGTTTGGAATCTCAGTCCTCCTTGGGGAAACTTATGGCTGCAGACTTCAGTAGGAAGATGAGCTGTTCTGTTTCTGGTCCAGGCAGTGGGGCCATTTATCTATAGAGACTCCTCACAGGTCATCAGGTTTGTCTCCTTTATAGCAAGCAGACAGGCTTGCAAATGCAGTCCTGGGAGAAATGTTTTTTTCCTTGCTTTTGGCATTTGGGAACATTTATTTATTTGCTTTTGCCAAGAAGTAGGTACATCTTACCTGGTGTTGTTA